TACCAGGGTAGGATATATTATTAAGAAAACAATGCTGCATCTGTCAGAGAATATCTAACTATTAGTGAACACAGTTTTTGAACACTGTCATCCAACATCGACGTCGTGACACTCGGGAAATTCCCCAATGCGCTCCTTTCCCTCAAAAAAAATCCCGAGCAGTGTGGATTCTCTTAGTTCCAATGGACGTGATGTGATGTTTTAAGATGAACCAGGACTCTCCTGCTAGCTAAAGCTATGGTTTTTTTTCCCTGTTATGTAAACGAGATCACGGACCGAGAGGTCCACAGACCACCAAATTGGAAAGAAGACTGGAGAATGTCTTCCAGACCTGGTATCAAGGTCACATCTGTGCAAGGACTGTGCTGTAGGGCTCTCTTTCTCTCAAATCTCAGAAACGAGCAAAGTCTGTCTCAGCCTTTCTACATATGCGGCTCACAAAAGAGGGGAAGTTGTTTCGCGGTCATCTGACATCTAACCAATCAGAGAAACAAAAACAAACCTAGATGTCGGTTTATCTGTTAAATCCGATGACAGAAAATTATAAATTGAGGCTTATGCAACATCTGCTGCGTGGCCTGCAGATAGCTGGGATAGAGAGTACAGTTCAAGGAAAACGAGGTAGAAGCAGACCTCCACAAGGCACTGAAGATAAAAGGCCTGAAGAATCGCTAGAGACTTTCAGGTGTGTACTGAGGAGAGCGACGTTCTGTAAAGGACTTGCTGACTGATGATAATATAAAACAGTCGAATAAAACGCTTATCTAAACAGACGATGAGGCAAAACTAATAATGTGGTATAGTACCCCAGTGCAAGTCCAATAGAGGAAACAACACTGCATTCAGAACACCGTGACACCCACAAGGATCCACACTGTCTAGTCTGGCGACCGTTAGCTATCATCTATTAACAATAAGACACTTCGTTTAAGCTTCATTCTTCCAATTTTAAAAATACTTTAAAAAAAAAACCAACGCAAATACAAAAGAAACTAGAGAAACGAAAAGCGGTAAATTAAATAAGGATCATGTAAATAACCTTAAACCCAGCCCATTTTCAATTAGCGAGTGAGTTAGAGTCCCTAATGAATATGTTCATGCGATAGCAAGCTAAAAGATCTCGAATAAAGTAGTAGATAGCTACAAGCGAAAATCAGAAAAGATAAAAAGGTAGTACCAATTGGATTTTCTACGCTAGTGTCAAATCAGTGCTACTGTAAAGGGCGTCAAATGTGAGCTGTATGGTTGGAGAACTATAATAATGAATTATAAACTACAAACATTCATTAACTTGTCCAGGCCAAACCAACGCAACAAGTGTGATCAGGATTGCTCAAGAGTAACAAACCACAACAGATTTAACTAGTATTTAGATTATGATTATGACTATAGAAACCTGGCTAGTTACTCCCTTAGTATTCATGTTGCTGCAACTGCGACATTTTTCAAGCTTCAAAACGGGCAGCTTCTCTCATATTTTAAGCAGCATATTGTGGAAAGCAAGGGGAAACTAACATATTATGCAAACCAAGTTATCATGGCAACAGTTGAAAGGTCTGGTTAACGCAGCATGAAAGCTTGTGCTTGTTTGTAGTGGACCGGGCGGATTTCCGGCGTGCCAGAATGAGAGCTACGTTCAGTAACGGAGCTGCTACATAATCAAAGTGTCAATGTGATGATGGTGGTGGTGGTGATGGTGATGATGATGAGAGATTAGTGTTACACAATGTGCAGTGTTACGTGCCACCTCGGTATATGTCCGCTGTTGTAAACGCCCAGCTTGGTTTAAGTTCAGCTTGGACGCGAACATGTTTGCTTGGTTTACAATTTGTGTTTTGGAATTCGACTCGCATGCTAAAACTTGAATGTCAAAAGGAGTCACGACATCAGTCGACACCACCAAGTGGACCTCGGAAACGATACATTGATTCACAATCTTAGCTATCATCCCCTTCCTAACCTAGAAGAGAAAGACAAAAATGAGTAGAGGATGAAGAAATGACAGGATGGTGAAACTACAGTAATAGCAGCATCGACAGAAAAAGATGGGAGAAAAAAAGGCAGGAGAACAAGAATCTCACACCCCTGACATATCATCCTACGCCTGTATCGGATCACAGAGGGACCATAAGAAATTACGATGGAAAATATGCCAACAACAGACGTAAAACTGAAGTTGAACAAAAAAGCAGAAGCAATATATTCACGAAAAAAAACGGCTACAATATCAAACAATTTCATCCTTGGGTGAAAACTGCGCATAGTTTATCGCAGATATTCATGTTAATTCCCCAGCGTAATATAACATTTCCTGACATTCTTTCCACTGCATACGCATAATCCCAGGTCAGTACTTGTAGCCTGGTTCGTTTAAACACACGCCGGATAATACACCACGCCGACTGTGAGTAACAGAATGTAAAGTACAACAGAGTGAACCCCACAAAATAAGAAATTAAATAACAAAAGTTCCAATGTACGCAGCCGACTGTGCGCGTGTGACTGTGTACGCAATCGATGTGCAAACAGAAACGGCCAACAAAGGTTCATAACGCCTGGGGTGTGTCGGTGCACAGCAGTCGCGTGGAAAACGTGAATATTTAGTCAAAGGATCTCCGTACACAGCCTTTCGCTACGTCCTGGCATATAGGTCGCTTATCTGTTAGCTTCAGTAAAGCTTGGCGAAGAGTTCGGCTCGCTTCAATACATGGGATAGTGAGGCATTTGCCTTGGATTTATAGATCTATAGTCAACATTAGGCGGTTCTTCATTTGTCTCCTATACCAGACTTTAGCATTTCGACACACAGGGCCCGATGAACAAATTTAAGGGGTCTAATTTATCAATTTAAAATAAAAAATAAAAAACAACTTCAGAAAGAAAGAAAGAAAGAAAGAAAGAAAGAAAGAAAGAAAGAAAGAAAGAAAGAAAGAAAGAAAGAAAAAGAAGGAAAGAAAGCCTAAGACACATAAAATGAGTAGCGAAGAATGTGAACAATTTGGGGGTGATATCGAGGTAAGGATACAACATTCTGACTCGCTGTTGCTTACACAGTTATAACAGGAAATGCTCACAAAGGAAAGAAACGAAACCACGGCTGAGGTGGCGGGACACAGTTTTAGAAGCCTTCGTGTATGTGTATGCTGGCTACGTGTCAAGGCAGTCCACATGTGTTGTCGCACTTCTCAAACAACAACATTAATATACCGTTTCATATTCATATACACAGTGTAGAATGTTAACAAAAGGTAAAATGCAGTATCATGCATAATACATTTTTTTTATTAAAAAAAAACATCCCAAGGAAAATTCGGGGGGGGGGGGGGGGGCGAGGTAATTGAGGAATGTTGCAAAGGTGGTTAGTGGGGTGTCCACGTCCCGTTTTCACCAGGAGTCCCGCTTTTTCCGTGTGTCCAGTCCGTCCCATCGGTACTCAACTGTCACATTTTATACAAATCTAGGATTAAGCTAGAGAATCATTTGTTTCAAATACCACGTAAGAGGAATCAATCCCCCCCCCCCCCCCCCCCCCCCCCCCCCCCCCCCCCCCCCCCCCCCCCCCCCCCCCCCCCCCCCCCCCCCCCCAAAAAAGGTATGCAATCCAACAAAAATTAATATTTATTATTCAGTACGGCTTAGACAATATACACGCCTGTATATATTCTGGTGTTCTTAAAATTCTCCTTAATGAATGATTATGACAATAAAAATAATAATAATATTAAATTCTGGAATACTCTGTGGGTGGGGGGATCGGCGAATTGGGTAAAATGACATGTCCCGTTTTCAGCTCAAAATATGGCCACCCTAAATAAATGTTTGACAACATTCGGCACTGGAGAGTGTTTTTGTTGTCCGTAGTGCAAGTTGAAACCTCAGAGATAATGTTCTTAAGTTGTCCTAACTAACAGACGTTACGTTATATCAACCGACGTCTTTGCACACTGGGCATTCCCATGCGTGCTCAGTCCTCCGATGCAGCAGCCACTCCAATGTACCTCTACTTTAACAGTATTTCCTTCTTTATCTCGAAGACGGTATAGACGTGCGTCACCAAGCTCAACTCCTCGGTCATGCAATCGTGTTAGGGTAAGCGATTCCACATCACAGAATCCATGCAAGAGTAATACTTTGACTATGAAAGCCTTTCACCATGCCTGTGTTGGGGTAATTATTTCTGAGACAGGCCACGTGTAACTACTAAATGGTGGAGGCATACACAGTATTCGCCCCCCCCCCCCCCCCCACTATAGTACAATGTTCGATGTTAATTTTCTGGATGAACTATTATCAAGTTAGAATCTTGTGTGTGTGAGAGAGAGAGAGAAAGGGGAGAGAGAGAGAGAGAGAGAGAGAGAGAGAGAGAGAGAGTGGGAGAGAGAGAGAGAGGGCGAGAGAGTGAGGGTGAGAGAGTGAGGGTGAGAGAGGGAGACAAAAATATTTTTTTTAATATCCAGAAACCATGCGTTCTTACCCTTTGGCTCGGTATTATATATATCACTACCCTTCGGTTGAAATACCGTAAATCTGGGAGTAGTGTGGCTTTTCTGCCTATCCCCGGGCGTGAGCCCTGGCCTCAAGAAAGTTCGTCACTCGGTCGTTGCGAAGTGAGGTTTAGCCAACTACGCTAGCGAGCAGGGCCAGACGAAAAGATGGAAATATTGCCACGACCAACTGTGAAGTTAGAATCTGACACATGTGTGACTGACACGCAACCCCCCTCCCCTCCGAGAGAGAGAGAGAGAGAAAGAGAGAGAGAGAGAGAAATATACATATTGCTATATGATGTAAAGGCTTAGTTGTGGGTTGTTAATGTGATGAAAAACCTCCAAGTTCGAATCTTACAGTGTATGAGAGAGAGAGAGAGAGAGAGAGAGAGAGAGAGAGAGAGAGAGAGAGAGAGAGAGAGAGAGAGAAAGAGAGAGGGAGAGAGCGGGGGAGAGAGAGAGAGAGAGAGAGAGAGAGAGGAAAGAGAGACGTTATCGTACATAAAGACCAACCTTCGGCGAGGTCTCGGTGCCTGTGCTCGCTCTCCGGATGCTCTTCGGGCTGGCAGAGTCCGACGTCTGTCGTGTCTGACTTCCAAGCAAGGTTCGGTGACGCTTCTGGTGACGTAAGGAGTTGGGCTGTTGGATATCGTCAGATCCTGAAGAGATGCTCCGATCTTACGACGTTTCCTGGCCGGACTTTCTGTCTGAAAAGGAATTGAATTATTGAATTATAATTTTTTTTAAATGCCATTTTCACCAGTGTTTCTCAACCTTTTTACATCCGCGGCCCAACAAAAGCGGAGACAACTGTTTCATGGACCACCTGACAGCAAACCAAACAGAAACAAAAAACACATGTAGATAGCAGTTTATTTGCTAGAGCCTATTTCACAAAATTACAATTTTCAGCTAATGTGATTCTGCTGCTTAGAGCTTAAATCTTGTTTAGTGCCTTGTTCGTTAATTCTGATAGACGAAGCGCTGCAGTAACATTCACTCGATTGATCTGTTTTGGTTTTTATTACTGACATAGCTGATAGTCTTTTCGCCCAATTAGGAAGTTAAAAACAAAGAGGGGGTGGGGAGAAAGAAGAAGAAAGAAAAACACTACCATCAATCTGAAAGCGCTATAACTCAGGTGTTAATCCTGGTTAGTTGCGTATCCTTTACAGGACGTTGCAGAACCAACCCCAGCAGCCCCTGGCTGTTGTGTTGTTTCTCTAGGCAAATTTACGTCCAGTAGTTTGCCATTGCTTCCTGGGCGGTCGGCCCTCTGACGCCACTGTCGAAACCAACGCAAAGCGCATGGCCCGCAGCTGGGATTGAACCCGGCACCCCGGCATTACGAAACGTTCGCATCGAGGTGTTAATCCTATAGACTGTAAAAACCACCCAGCCTACTTTGTTACGTGATTAAGTGTTGGGCGGCCCACACGGACTTCTCAGAGGACCATATTTTGATTTGATTTAAGAACCGACATCACAGCACTCGGGGCATTTCCATAAGCACTCCGTCCTCATCTTCAGCAGCCAGCGAAGGGTTCCGATACTAATGGTGCCAGTAGCATTCTGATTAAACGTCCGTCTTGCCTTCCCTCTGAGTCTCGAGCATCTGCCTGAACCTCTCGTCACTTCCCGCTGCATCAATCTCACCAGACTGGTGAAACATCTGCTTCTCCGAACTGTAACGCTCTCCCACAAGGTACTAACCACGTCTGCCATATCGTGTATCAGTATTCCACCAAGTTGTGCAGAGCCAGCCAGTCTGTCCGCCTGTTCATTTCCCAACACACCGGCGTGCCCCGGTGAAAAAAATCCAGACAATACTCTTCACCAGTGTCCTCCGAAGCATGCCACTCTGCACGAAGCATACCTATTCTGATCTACACAGCGTTGAAACATTATTATTTTTTTGGCAATGATTAGTGGGCCATTAGGCCTCCGAGGATCGGATTCTTTAGGGGACCTTCGGTTAAACAGCCCTGTTGTCAGCGGCGACTGCTTGCAGTAAAAAGTGTTTCGATCTGAAGCGGCATAAGTAATAACAGTATGGCGCTAAACCAAATAAAATAATGACCGGGTAATAATGGGTTAAAGCAACAAGGGCGTTGCGCACAAGAAACTAGACTTCTTGTTAGCGTTCAGCCACTGTAAACTCTGACGGGAAAGTTCTGGCTGTTCGTCCATTTTTTGGGGTTCCTATACCAGAATTTGAGTTTTTGTGCACATCCGTTTCACAAATCTAACTCATTTGTATGCAAACTATTAGTTCCTAGCTTTACAGCAGATGCACTCTGACTTCACAGGCTACAGCCATAATTAGTCGACTTCTATGACAGGTTTTTTTAGATCGTATGAGTTGACTCCCAAAAAAGCATGGCGAGTTGTTTGGTACAGAAAGACTTAGGCAGAGTTACATCAACTTTAGCTTGTAACGGTAAAAGAGACCTGGGCACGGCAACTAATAAAGGTTAAAGTCCAGAGGACCGACTTCACGGCTAGCTGCCTACCGAAATCCTCTCAAAAAGCAAGACTCCGTAGACCCAGCGACGATCCGCTTTAGCCTCCTAAATCGCCACACCTTATGGCAAGCTAGAATTCCGGATTCGTGTTTTCCCATGGCAGAATTCGCGATAACAGCGTAAGACACTACACTGTTCCTGGACATGTGCCCAATTCAACACGCAGGTAACCACATTCTGACAAGACAAGAAGACACAACACAGTCACTGTGCTTGCACCCGGGTGACTCAGCCAAGCCCGCTTGCCTACAGATACAGATAGCGCAGCCTAACATCTAGACATGAACCCAGGTTTACCCCCAAGCCAAAACTCTACATGAAAGAGAATCGTGACATCTACACTACATCAAACTGAAGGGGGACTAGATACGGCTGCCTAAGGATCACAGAAACACACAATAATAATGGCAAAATAAATTTGCGACATATCTTTAGGGCATTCGTGGTGTGCGTGTTAGGAATAAAAAAATGACAAAAAGGTAGTTGGGGGGAAGGGGAGAGAGAGAAAGACAGCGTCTGTTACACTTTACAAATCTAATATATACTACTACATTACCTGGACGGATAGAAATCGTCTTGCTTGTCTGGGAGCAGCTATGTGCCCAATGGCATAAAGGTAATGATCAGGGCTGCTAATAGGACTATTTTTTGGAATGCCCATCTAAGATAACTAAAAAACCCAAGCAATACATAAGCAAAGAACAACAACAACAACAAAACCCAGATTGTTGACGACTACAAATTTTATAGTTACGAAACGAAACCTTTGCCTACTTTTATATAAGAATATATATTTTTTTTAAACCCAGATTTCAAAATTTGAACCCAATGCGTTGAATAAAAACCCAGATGGGGGGGGGGGGGGTGGTGTAAAAACCCATCATTGGCAGCCCTGGTAATGATCGTATAATGGCACATATTGCACATACATAACTGGAGCTGGTTTTGTTATCTGAGGCTTACAAGTGGACCTTCCCCTCCTGCCCTAGACTAAGCAGTGAAGTATATTTGATTCAGACCACTGTACTCTAAATCAGTGTTTAATTCTCTCCCAATATCTCCCCCTCCCCTATGACGTCCCGGGCCAGTCAAATATTTTCGAGGGAGGTCAGATTGGGTTGGGTTATGGTTGGGGTTAGGCTTTAGGTTTATTGTTTAGGGTGAGGGTTTAGGTTTCAGGTTAGGCGATGTGTTCGTGTCACCTCTACTGCTGCCTTACCAGTTGCCGCATTCCGACATCTCTCCATATGTGCTAACGTGTACAATTGTTCTGACTGTCAATCCGTGAACTCACCCGTATGCATCTAGAATGAGGTTGTCTTTTATACGTTGATGTGAGCGCTTTTAACGACCCTAAAACATATTCAACGGGCCCTAACCCAAACCCACCTAGCCACAAAAACGGCACCTCCCAATTGCACAGTCCACAACGCACAGAAAAATGCGCACACACACACACACACACACACACACACACAAGAACAGCGCAAAAAGCACTCTGTGAGGCTAATAAAATGCCAAATTACCATACTATACGCTTAATCTACCACCCCCTGGAATATTAGACTGTTCCGTAACCTGTGGAATTCCCGTGTTTGGGGAGAGATATTGGAATTGTACCCAGTGTTCTTCACCCGGTAGCCACATAATCCCGCCACTAAACTACTGAATATCAAGTGCGACATCAGATTTTGCGACACTGCATGCAACAACAGCCTATATCCCCCCTCCCCCTCCCCACGGTTAGGTGTCAGGAGGTCTAATAAACGAACGAACGGAACTTTATTTTCAAAGGGTCACAAATTAGGCACGCAGGACCGTCTTACCTTCGGCCCTTCCAAACACCCATCTTTCACACAGCAGTTGTATTTTATCAAAAAAATCATGCCATGTTCATATTATGAATATCAAGTCAAAAACAAAAGCCGGGTGGTAAAATGCATGCGCACGCTCGCGCGCGCGCACACACTCACAAACCCATTCACATACTTACACATAACACATAGGCACCCAACATACACATACATCAACACACATACCTACACATCCACACATGCGTACATACACACACATACTTACACATATACATACACACACAAGACACACTTACAGTCACACAGACACTCTCACAAACATACTCTAAGACACACACACACACAAACAAACACACAGCCGCACAAAAAGACACGTACAAACACACACACACAGCGACAGGTACACAAAACATAGACGCATACACACACGCAGAGAGAGACACACACAGGGACATACGCAACACACAGTCACGCACGCAGACACAGCCACACAAAACGACACAAATAGAGACACACAGACATAATTAGATAGACATACCCATAGAGAGACACACGGCACAGACACACTGACACACACACCACGCACAGGAACAAACATACAGACACACAAACACACAGAAACAAACATTCAGACAAACACATAGTCATACATAACACTCACACAGACACATACTGTCACACACGAACAGACACACACACAAGACACACGCAGGCATAATCAAAAAGACATCAGGCATTATCAAAAAGACACACACACAGATACACACGAGCAGCCACACACCCTGATACACCTAGCTAGACACATACAGAGAGACACACACACTGACACTCACGCAGCCACACACACACACAAACACACACACAACACAGATACGAAACAAGTTGTAATAGTCCACAGGTAAAAGAAGACTGGCGAACACTAAATAACTGCCGCGCAAAACAAAAAAAAGTTGAGGGAAGGGGGTTGAAGAAATGATTAGTTTGCCTCGCTTCTGAATGGGGGGCATACGCACAAACATCCTTGTCATAATGCTGCCTGTCACACCTGCACATTTACATAACATCCCTGCCTTGATGTTGCTTATTAAATTTGCATGCATATATAACATCCTGGAGGCCCGGGTTCGATGCCCGTTAAGGTGAAGGAGTGTATCTGTCGTCGCAAAAATAGACATCCTAACCTGTTCTGTGCGTGGCGACAGCACTAGCAATGTGGCCCTCAATGCTCAGGACACTCCCATCTGCATTGCCCTTAAAGTGGTCAATGCAGAAAGTAGTCTTCTTTTTCGCGTTCACTTGAAACTCTGGTGGAAAATTCTGGTTGTTCGTCCACTTCTGTTACAGAAACTAAAGGTTGCGTGCACACCG